CACGAAGAAACCTCCTCTCTCACAGTTTGACAATGATCCAAAAGCATCATCTCTCTTGGACAATGTTACATTTGAAGCATTACATGCTGTTTGTAATCCGGTATGGTCTAGTGGCTAGGATACCTGGCTCTCACCCAGGAGGCTCGGGTTCGATTCCCGGTACCGGAATATATTTTGCTTTTATTTATCATAAAATTTAGGGCAGTTTTATATTTTAAAAGTTTATTTAAAATATTTATTATTCTATATTATAATAAAGGGTCAACGAAATTACAAAAAACAATGTCACAAATAAAATTGTTTTATTACGTCAGATTTATTTTGAATTTTAGGAAAAATCAGCGAAATATTTATAAGAAAAAGAATGTATGATAAATAAAAAAAAATAATTATCAATAAAATAAAAAAAATGGATAAATGTTTGAATTTTATATATAGAGGAAAGATCCTTATAATGAGATATTGAGTTCATTTTGAATAAATGTTAGAAGTCTATGACAGAATTAAAAAAAATAATAGGTCATTTTGAAAAGAATTTAATAAGCTTTGAGATAACGTTATATAAAATTTAATTCAAATCCCATTTTTTTGAAAATTAAAGATACCATAAAATGTAAAAAGTTGGCAAATCACAAAATCAAAAAATTGTGCTTTTAATATGAGATGCCTCGAGAAATTGATCGAAAAACGCAAAGTATATCAGTATTGCAATCAAAAAATTTTATTTCATGTTTCTAAAATGTAAACAAACATAGTCAGCATGTGTGAAAAATGAATATGCGATATATTATATTCAAAACTCGTCTCAAGTAAGTTGGAATCAAGCATCACAGAAATAGGCACTTGACGTTCATTCCGTCCTCTTTATTATTGTAATAACATTTACTCTCTTCAGCCACATTTTCTATAATATAGGAGCATGGGTCATTTTATATTAGAAATACCCTCGGTATCTCATATTACGATTTCCACGCCTTTTGGTTTTACGATCATCAAATCTAACTTCTGTAATTAAACAATTCAACATATCCCATATTTTTCTATTAGTACAATTTTACTCTATCTACATGAAGAATTTATTGCCAAATATTTATTTATTAAATAATAAATAAGATTTAAAGGCTCATCTCAATGAGACTTGAAGAGATCCAAATTCTAAAATCTTTTTTTACAATGACTACAGGTATGATCTAATCATGAATTTTCTACTAAATAATTTTCAATCCAATAAATTCATGGTGGAACCAATAGATAGCATTTATTAGTTTATTAGTTTAGCAAAAATGCTATCTTATAATAGGGAGCTTTCCTCTATTAATTTCTTTTTGTGAAAAATAAAAAATTATCTCGTAAATAACAAAAACATTTGTTTGTCAAGGATATCGAGCGCAGAAAAACAGACATCTTTTCACGTTTGGCAAGTGTTTAGTGAGAATGAATTGTCGGATTTCGATGTTATATATAAGTTCTCTGTGTAATAAAATTTTTTTAAAGTTTTATTAAAAATGGATGAAAAAAATACAATTTTAAAATGGATGATAAAATAAATATGAAAGATGACAACTTAGTTAAACATATTTTCTTCGTTACGTAAAAGAAATTTAAATTAATAAGAAAGTTAAATGGCTGTTTTCACATTGTGAAAAAACAATATTAATTTTGTATTTGAACTTTAAAGTGGATCTAACATTTTTAGCACAATAAGAAGAAGCCATTTATAGAATGATATAGATTTATATCATTATTAAGAAATTGACATTAAAAACTTTAAAAGAATAATTAACATTAAATTATTGATAACATAATGTATTCTAGATTCAGCTTTAAGTATGAAAAATTAGCATTTGATATTGTTATTGATGTTTTCTGTCTGGGTGGCGTTATCTAAAATTAGATCCATGCATGACAATAGGCCATTTTAGTATAGGATATCATGTAGCAACTTGGAAAGGCGTGAAATCGTATTCTTGGTTACTGTCGCGTAAATGGAAATTCCTTTTGCGTGCTGTGCCAAGGACAGCAAACGCGGGACGATACATTGAGAGACCAACTAGTCCGATTTACTTGCAATTTCCACATCAACTGGATATACATATATATATA